CACACTCTCTCTCTCTCACACACACACACACACTCTCCCTCTCTCTCTCTCACACACACACTCTCACACATACACACAGACACACAAACACACTCACACTTTTACACTTTCTCTCTCTCTCACACACACACTCTCCCTCTCTCTCTCTCTCTCTCTCTCTCTCACACACACACACACACTCACACTCTCTCTCTCTCACACACACACACCCCCTCTCCCTCTCTCTCTCTCACACACACACTCTCACACATACACACAGACACACAAACACACTCACACTTTTACACTTTCTCTCTCTCTCACACACACACTCTCCCTCTCTCTCTCTCTCTCTCTCTCTCTCACACACACACACACACACTCAGTCCGTGCGTCCGTACGCTGAGAGCTCCACTAATCAAGGAGTCCATCAGACGAAACCACAGGCCAGGGGCTGATGGGAAATCTATAGCGTTATTGCTGCACAACTCTACTTTGATTTGGTTCAGCTTTTAGCCAGAATAACGGCGGTCTGGATCGGAGCATATCGTGTCTCGCAGCTCTGTCCCGCTCCTCACAGATACTGCCTGACAGTCATGTAGACCTTGACCCGCGGCGCCTGCGAGCGCGTAATTCACTCCTGTATGGATTTTCTCGTTCGGGTCGACACCTCTCCGACACGGCTCGCAGACGTCTGCCTGACCCATAACAGCCCTTTATAAGCTCCTGTTTTCCTGCAGAGCTGGACGATTAATCACATTTACCTTCAATTAATCACATTCCTTTCCTTTACAGCGCTGTGATTTTGAACTTTGCTTAAATGTTTAGTAGGTTCTGGAAGTGCTCTACAACATGGGTGATCTTTTTATTTTTTATTTTATATACTTAGTCTTAAAATATTTATATTATGTTATAATATAATATAATATATATTTTAATTTAAGTTCATGTTTATTTTATTTATTTCAAGAAATGAAAATGAGCATTTTTATGGTTTTGTTTTTAGTTTCAGTTTAGTTGACCATAATAACCCTGACTAAAATAAAACATAATAAATATTTTGAAAAGGCTGCATACCAAAAAGTCCAGTGGGTGGGATGGTATTTCAGCTCTTTTACTTAAAACATTTGCTGATGAATTAACTCCAGCCTGGAGTCCATTATTTTAATTATCACTCGACACTGGAATTATTCCTATAATATGGAAAAAAGCAGTTGTTATCCCTGTTCCAAAAAAACATCCAGCAGAGGAAAATAATGACTTTAGACCAGTGGCGTTAACGCCCACAGTGATGAAATCACTTGAACGTATTGTGACAGAGAAATTGAGAGAGAATGTAGTGTATAAATTAGATCCTTATCAATTTGCGTATAAAGAAAATAGGAGTACAGAAGATGCTTTGAATACTATGACGCACTTTATTTTAAAACACCTTGAAAATCCTGCAGCTTATGTTAGAGTGATGTTTATGGCTCTGAGTTCAGCGTTTAATACTCCCAGATATTGTGTTATTTAAGTAAAAACTGATGGAAGTGAACCCTTATATAATTAAATGGTATTATGCATTTCTAACGGGACGACAACAGCAAGTGAAAATTAATTCAACTTTCTCTGATATATTGGTCACAAATGTTGGAGTTCCTCAAGGCTGCGTAAGCTCCCCGCTTCTGTTTGCATTATATACGAATGATTGCAGGAATCGGTACATCAACAACTACATTATTACATTTTCAGATGATACAGTTATACTTAGTTTGCTGACAAGCAATTCAGATGTGGGCATGTATAAATCAGAGATAGAAGGGGTTGTGCAGTAATGTGAGGAACTCAACTTGATGTTGAATGTCATAAAAACTAAAGAAATTATCTTTGACCCGAGGTTGGTGGGTGATCATAGTCCAATTTTAGTTAATGAGGAGGAAGTTGAGCAGGTAACAACATATAAGTATTTAGGGTATCTAACTTTGATTCTCAGCTGCAATGGAGTCATCAAGTGGACTATGTTTGTACACGAGCTAGTCAGCGCTTGCATTTTTTGCGAAGGCTCAGGGTTTATGGGGTGGATAAAACTATCATGTTACTGTTTTACAGATCAGCTATTGAATCTATCATATGTTATGGTTTTACAATATGATTTGGAAATTTGACTGTTAAACTTGGGTCGCAACTTCAAAATGTGGTTAGAAGAGCTGGAAAAATAATTGGCATGTTGTCTCCACTTTCTCTTCAGGACATTTTTGAGAGGTCTGTTAGGAAGCAGAGTCTTAGCATTATTGGTGACCCAAGCCATATTCTCCATAAGGAATATGAGCTGATGCAGGAGATAGAGGGTTCCAATCTGTAAGCTGAAAAGATACACATTTTCTCTAATTCCATTATCTGTCAAATTATTGAATAAGTGATTGAAATTGTTGTGTGGGTGAGGGTAATGTGATGGGTAACATGTAATGTTGGTGTATTACTAGGATGGTTCCAATCTGTAAGCTGAAAAGATACACATTTTCTCTAATTCCATTATCTGTCAAATTATTGAATAAGTGATTGAGATTGTTGTGTGGGTGAGGGTAATGTGATGGGTAACATGTAATGTTGGTGTATTATTAGGATTGTGTAGGAACTATATATGTTTTGGAATGGTGTAATTTTTTTGTTTGTTTTTGTTTGATCTGCTCTCCCGGTTGCTTAAGACGAATTTCTCCTAAGGGAGACAATAAAAGAGAAACTTAAGCTTAAATAAATAATAAATATGGTAAAATATTATAAATATATTTAGTTTTATGTATATTTTTTTATATATAAAGAAATATCCTTTTTTAATATTTTATTTCTACAATTTTTTATAATATAATAATTTAATAAGAATTTTTAATAAGAATATCAACTGTTGTAGCTTTAGTTAACCCTGTACAGATCATGTTTTCCATCTTATTTCCAATTATTGAATGCATGAACTGATCAAATGTGCACCTTCAATGCGGTTTAAGTCGCTTTGGGTAAAAGCGTCTGTGATTAATGTAAATGGATGATGTAAGAAACTGATTGACTTGTGTTCTATTTGAATGCTGTTTATACTTCACTCTTGGTCTCCAGTACGTCTCACGTCTCTCTCGTCTCGTCTTGCAGACGGTTCAAGCTCACCGACCGCTCTTCGTGGCTCTTCACTGTCAGGAAAAATGTGCACCTTCAATGCGGTTTAAGTCGCTTTGGGTAAAAGCGTCTGTGATTAATGTAAATGGATGATGTAAGAAACTTGTGTTCTATTTGAATGCTGTTTATACTTCACTCTTGGTCTCCAGTACGTCTCACGTCTCTCTCGTCTCGTCTTGCAGACGGTTCAAGCTCACCGACCGCTCTTCGTGGCTCTTCACTGTCAGGAGGTCGGAGGGAAGAATTACGAGGCGTCCATGACACACGTGGACAGCTTCATCAAGTAAGTCATCGGCTCGTGGAGGCGTTTCACCTGAACTGAGCTGTGTGAGTGTGTGAGTGTGTGAGTGTGTGAGAGTGTGAGAGTGTGAGAGTGTGAGAGTGTGAGAGTGTGAGAGTGTGAGTGTGTGAGTGTGTGAGAGTGTGAGAGTGTGAGAGTGTGAGAGTGTGAGAGAGTGTGAGAGTGTGAGAGAGTGAGAGTGTGAGAGAGTGTGAGAGAGTGTGTGAGAGAGTGTGAGTGAGTGAGTGTGTGAGTGAGTGTGAGAGTGTGTGAGTGAGTGTGTGAGTGTGAGAGTGTGAGAGTGTGAGAGTGTGAGAGAGTGTGAGAGAGTGTGAGAGAGTGTGAGAGAGTGTGAGAGAGTGTGAGAGAGTGTGTGAGAGAGTGTGAGAGAGTGAGAGAGTGTGAGAG